CATTTTTAGAATCTTCTTTATCTGTAATTTTTGCAAATTTAGTTATGATGTGCCATGAAGAGGATCTTTTTGGGTAGATTCTATTTGGGGTCCTTTGTATTTCTTGGGTCTAGATGTTTGAATGCTTCTGTAGACCTGGAAAGTATTCTTCCAGGATTTTATAGAATAGATTGTCAATGCCCTTATTAGATTTTTCACCTTCTGGGATACCAATTATTTAGATATTTGGGTGTTTAATGGTATATCTAGTATTTCCTATATATTATCCTCATTTTTTGGTAATTTTTTCAAACTTTTTGGTGATCTTTTCCTAGATCAGAGGTTTTGTCTTCTTGATCTGAGATTTGGTCTTCTAAATGCTCTAATCTGCTTTTGATACTTTTTTTTTTTGGGAGAGATTTTCGCTATAGGGCGCGTGTGCTCGCCAGACAGACAGAGAGAGACAGAGAGACAGAAAGCGAGAAATCACCCCCTAGGGGGGATGGTCACGCCGCAATCCCCTCTCTTCCATTCTCCTCTCGGGATCTTGGGCATGCACGCACACGCGCCCAGCGTGAGTTTTAAGCCACCGGGTTCGGGACGTGAACCGTGGTTGACTACGTGGGAGTCCAGCGACATAGCCATTACACTAACTGCTGGTTCCCTGCTTTTGATACTTTTGAGTGAGGTTTTTATTTCCTGTATTATAGCCTTCATCTCTAACTGTTGTTTGATTCTTTTTTATGGTGTCTACTTCTTTTTTCAAATTGTGGAAGGATTCCTTGCTCCTGGGAGTTCATTGTCTCTTTTTTCTTGTATCTCATTTAGTTTATCACTATGAATATTCTAAATTGTTTATCTGATATGTCCATGAGTTCTTTTGTACAGTCTGTGGACAATGAGGAATTGGTCTTTTCTCTTGGGGGAGAGATATTTTCTTGGCTTCTCATATTTCTTATGCTTCTGTGCTGGTTTCTGGTAATCTGGTGGATTATACATTTCTTTCTAATTTCTTGGAGTTAATCTGAGAGTTCAAAGGCGTGCAGATGGAGGTGTGCTATGGTCTCTCTGCAGCTCTGTCTCCCTGAAACTCATCCTGCAACCTGCACTGTCATCACTGGAACTGGATATTCCAATGGCCTCCCAGTTTCTTGAGAACAGGTGCACCTGGGGCTGAGTTATAGGATTTCTACTGGACCAGCTGGGAGTCTGTGGAGGTCTGGCCTCAGTTGTTCTCACTGGCACCTGCTGCACAGGTTCTGAGGCTAATGGCAGAAGAGAGGGATGGGAGCGGGATGATCTGGGCAGCTGGAATAGCCAGGAGACAGTGATGGTACCAAGGCAGTCTGGTCTCTGTTATTCTTACTGGCTGCTGCTGTGCAGGTTCTGGAGCTAATGGAAGAGGAGAGAAATGAGAGCAGAAAGATCTGGGTCCCTGGAACAGCCGGGAGTCAGTGGACGTCCCCCAAAGCCCCATCTTCTCCTTACATGTTCTTTCAGAATTAAATCAATAGAGTTTGGTGAATAAAAATAAGGACTTTGCAATTAGGGCCCCTGGGTTTGAATATGCTATACCTGTAAGCTATAACATAAAAATAATTTTCCCTAGTTGTAGTCATATCACTTGTGATCTACTCATATCATTTGTGAGTATATATCACAAGTGATATGAATATATTCTATTATATCTGATTTGACTACTTAATAGTTTTTAGATATATCCTATGTTATTGGTTTTTACACTTCTGTAATCCCTGTCAGACAAAAATCTACTTGGCCTACCTCAGATTTTACCATTTTAAGAAAATTTTCCCAATTTCCTAATTAAAATTAATTATATGTATTTTCCAAGAAATTGGTACCTCTGGTAGAGAAATGATGGTAATAATTTTGTTGAATTTAAATCCAGAGCGAAGTGATGGTATTTAATTTTATAATGATAAGTTCTAGAACAATTTCTAAAGTTTATTCAATTGATTTGCTATTTTATAACGAACATTTACTAATAAAATAATTATGTGGAGAAATTCTACCATTAGTAACAAGATGAATTATTCTGAATTTCAGTTTACAAAATGAATTTATGCTTCCGTATTGTGCACATAATGATAAAGATGACAATCACCTGAGAACACAATGGAAAGAGTTTCTGAATGTGTGTCTGTGTTTCTGTGTAAAATACGACATGATTCAAGAATGTAATTGAAACAATTTTTTATCACATACTTTTTAATTGAGGAAATATACAAAACATTGTTACATTTAGTAATACATTGAAATCAGAAATATCTAGTCCAAAGAAGGAAATCTTTAAAAAATCAGTGTTTTTCTTCAATAAATTTGTGAATACTGTGTTCTTTGTTTTCCTTTCCCTTCACCTGGTGAGATTTTTTCCAAGCGAACCCATTTATTCATTTAATAATGCCACACCCTCAAGTAATTCCACAGGACAGGAAATATGACTCAAACTATATACTACTTTATTTATTACATATTATATCTTGGGCTTCTGGGTTAATTTTCAAGCCTTAGCAAAACACTCTAGTGTTTTTGCTCCCTGGGCAAATGAATATCCTAACTCCTAAGCCATGATGGGAGATCTTGGCTTACGCTTTCTATTTGTTTGTGATGATGCTTAAAATATTTCTGGAGCTTTAGTTATATGTGAATGATACTATCTTAGCATGATGGAAGAATTTGGCATTATGGAAGAATTCTTCCTTGCTAATAATGTTGAAAGAAAAAAATGAAAAGGTTCTGTTGTTGTTTCTATGGCTATCAAAGAAAGGCTTCCACCAGAGGTAGATCTTTTTTGGAAGAAACTTTTTCTTTGTGTGTTGAAAAAAGAAGAAAAATGTCCCCCCCAAAAATTCATACCCTTCTCAAAAGTGATTTACCTCATTTTGAATTTTTAATGTATTGGTTAAATTAATATTATTTTATTCTTCATTTCTCCAATCTCAGTGTTTTCAGTTTTAACTCCACTAGCATCTTACATGAATTATCCACTAGTTGTTTCATAAGTCTTGGAATTATGAGCCTAATTAAATGAAAATTTTAAAAGAATTATTAATTTAATTTATTACTCCTTTTAAATATGCAATAAGGCATGTGCACTCAGTAGAGAGAGGCAGAGATAGAGGGAAAGTGAGAAAGCAAGCTGTCAGGTCTGGGACTTGAACCATGGTCAGCAATGTGGGAATCTAGCACCCTAACCACCATGCCACTTGCTGGCTCCTTAAATGCAAATTTTAACAGAGAAATATCCATGAATTTCATCAAATTATAGAGTTGTAAAATGTATCAGAGTCTTTGATGTAAAAAACAAAATTATGGAATGGCTATAACAGCTGGTAATATACACAATTTGGAAAATATTACAAAATATGTGATTACTCTGTTTTAGCCACTCTTCACTCAAATTTCATAAAACCCATTTTTTTGAAAGATATTTTTTATTCTGGCTAGGAAATACTAACAGACATGCAACAACAAAATTTGAACCTGTCTATATCTGATGAAGTTATGGTATTGAAGCAGAGTATCTGAGCAATGGGTTCAAGTTTTCATACCACAACTAGCTGGTCATTTAACCTTTCTATTTCTAGATTCCTTATCTATAGAATGAGAGAACTGGGCACGAGATTAGAGATTATGTGAGATGCCTCAAATGCAACAATAGCTTTATTCATAAAGGAGCAAAAAACGAACCAGAAGTGCTATAATTATTTCCTTTTGTAAGGAATAAGCCCTGAACATAAGTTTATTTCATTTACATTATCTTTCTAGTAATGTTATACTTACTACTATATAGTTTACATATTTTACAAAATTAAATAAGACTACTTGGCTAGCATATTTTTTTTCTTAAGCCAGCTTTATGCTTCTAAAAATCAGTAATCCGTGCACGTGTTTCCATTTCATTCATTGAACATAAATGGTAGTATTAGAAAGAAAACACAACTTGGTAATAAAGTTAAACATTGTGCTAATTATTCTTGGTAAGAATTAAAAGCCATATCACAGAGTTTTATTTTAAGTCTAAATATGGATTAGAAGCTCTGTGAGGGCTGGAATCATGTCTATCCTCTTCACCTGTGAGGTGTCTTAAAAACAAATGAAAAATAGGTATGAAACACTCAGCATGGATTTCTTTTCTTTTTTTTTTTGCAGTAAAATGGACTCATACTTTAATTCCATTTTTTCCACTAAGTTTTTAAAGTCCCCTCATATATTCACAGAGCCAAGACAAGCACTCAACATTTAGTAGCTTCCAAATAAATATTATTGAATGCATGAATAATTACAGAGGTATTTTTGGAGAATATTTGATTGAAAAAATAAAAGTTCTGATTCAGGGCAATGAAACTGACTAAAACATATTTCATATATTTTTTTCTGGCTCAATTAGCAAAAGTAGGAAAAAATTTCCCTGTGGAAGTATAAAACTCTATTACTTTCTTTAAGAACTGTTTTCTACTGTAGGAGTTGTTATCCTTTTTTTTGTGATATAAAGTGCAATTAAAAAGAAATATACATATATTTTATTTTGATGAACCTTTCTTAGTAATATTTAATGTTGCATATTAAATGGATTGTTTGAAGAGAAAAATGACTTCGGGTATCTATTGACAGATGCTCCAAGTACCTTTTTGATTTTCTTTACAATGTGCACATTTCATTCACTTTTTTAATTAATAAATTTTAATAGACATATTTTTCCAAAGAAAAATATGGCTGGTGGATGCACACAAGACTTGATTCACAACTTCAAAGAACAAGGGCATTTTGGCTATTATGACTGATTTTACAGGTTCAAGACCTGCAGGATTTGCAATATCAGTTATGTACTATTTATTAGACAGTATCAATGGGTACAATAACTTTTTTTTGAGTTTTCTGGCACATTAAAATCATCAGAAGGAAAATTTTAAAGTTATCTATAGTGCTTAGCAAGTTAGCACTCCCCCCATACATAATCAGAGTGACATTAAACTTCAAATATTTGGATATTTGTTGGCTGTTGAAACATTAAGTATAGTACATTATGTATTTTTAGTGGATATATTGGCAATTGCAAATTACGAGCTTCATACAGAATCCTGACACAAAGCACTTACTGTTGGGAGTAATGTATGTTACTGTATCGTGTTACTCTGTGTCGAGATGCCATTGGGGATGTGGAGCCAATGGCTTGGCTTATGTGAACGTCTGGACTCACCATTTGTGTCACTTGAATTTCTGGGCCTACCAAAATACTGCCACTCATCATAGGTCCCATACAGCTATCAGTCATGCAACTATTGTTCATGTCAGGCATACCAGGACTAGGCAGTACTCTCTCAGTATAGATTATGTTATGTGTGTTGGCTAACTCAGCAGGTACACAAATATTCCCTTGAAGATCATAGACAGGTGCCATGACTGTTTCAGTTACTACAACATTGGGTGGAAGCTGAGGATCAAAAACAATTGTAGTGGGTTGTATACATTGATCATCTGTAGTATAAGTCTCAGTCACTATAATATCCCCATGAAGCACGGGTTCAGATGCTGCCATTTCAGCTTGAAATTCAGCCTCTGAAAGAGTCATTCCCGAAGATTCATTAACAAAGTAATTAGGTCCAAGCAAAGGGAGATCAGTACTGATTGGTATACAGGCCTGGTGTGAAGGAAATGGTTCAATTTCTGTGTCTAAGCAGATTTCAGCAAGAGTTCTAAATTTTGGGTCTAATGTTTCCATGCAACTTTCATCTAAGTCATCCACAATCCAACTGCAACAACCAATCGAGCCCACAGGAGACCCTACTCCCTCATGGTCATAAATGAGCAAGCAGTCATTGGCTGGTCGACCTTCATCTTCATCTGCATAAGCATATGCTTTCTAAAATTAGAAAAAAAAAAAAAGGAAATTAGAAGTTTCTTTCCCTTTAAAACCATCATAGAAGAATGAGAGCAATGCTTTAGAGACTTCTGATCTAAGATTTTATGGCATGACCTGGGAGAAAAACTGGTACTTTGATGTATTTCTAAGCAATTGAAGGTTTTTAGGTGATCAGAGTCCATTCATGATACATAAAATTTGAAGAATAATTACAAATATCACTTATTCTAAAACTAATAAATGCTAATGTCCATATATTGTTTAGATATAAAATCAAAGATAATACTTAAATCTAGGCTCTTTTATTTCTGAATGATCCGGAAATAATAAAGATGTTTTTGTTGTGTTCAAAATAATTATTTAAGGATATATATTTTATCAACTTGGTTTAAAAGCATGTATAAAGAGGCAAAGGTCTCTTAGCTTTAAAGATTTTTGTTAGAATGTTCACTTTTACATGGCTTGAGCAAAGAGAACTGTGCTTATCTCTGGGAGTTTGGTTTAATGGAAAGAAGGGATAAGAGGTTGCATACCATGATTTTCAAATTATTTTAAAAGAAAGATCTTTCAGATAAAATCTTGGGTAAGATTGCAATATGTGGAACTGAGGATAGTGGAATTTTCCTGGTTGAAGGGGTGAGGTGGGAGTGAGACCTGCCGGTTCTCTTCCTCCACCACTTGTGATGGTCCTTAAAGGGTCCCATGGAATTTCATAGGGTGGGTAAAGCACTGTTTGAATCACCTGTACAGCCTGATCCCTTCTTTGTTTTATAAGTAACTTAACTAAAGGAGAGGATTAATTGCATGCCCAAGACCCAAACAATTCTAGAATAAAATCTCTAACGCAAATGTCCCTTTCATACTACATCACATTGGTTTTTCTCTGGTATGTACTAGACTCTAAATTCACTGTTAGAAATTAATTTTAGGTCTTAAAATAAATTATTCATGAATTTAGTATTGCCTTAAACCTTTGTCATATATTATTTTGAATGACACCTTGTTTAGAAGAGTATAATAGAAGGAAAAAATGTCAAGTGCAATTTTGGCATTAATGGTAGAGCTCCCTTAGTATTAGATTTTAATATGTGATTTTTATGAATGACTTAAAATATTATTTTTATGACTCATGTATAATTTATACTGATTTGTTGAATGAACTGATTGGTAGCATTGATCTTTCATTTAAATAATTGATGCAGTCTGTGATAGTACTTGTAACTAAGATACAGTTTACAGTTGCAACAATACATTCACATTTTTAGTTAGCAGTGGTAGTAAAATTCATGGTTACCCTATGGTTAATAAAACAAGCAAATTGAAATATGAGCTAAAACAACTGCTAATTAAGCAAAGTTAATTTATTAAATAGGAATTCACGAGAGGATTTACTTTCTACCCTGTTAGGTCAATCTAATATCTATGGGGCTTTTCTCTATAGAGTGCTCATAGACCCATGATCTTTTTCTTAGGAAGGGATTCTTAGTGAATGCGGTTCTGAACTGAGAACAGGAGACAGAACTTCGAAGTCTGGATCTGTCACCAAGTTGTGGGGCTGATGGGAGTTAAAACTCAGGAATATAGCATCATTGGAGGCATTTAAAGAACATACAGGACATCGTAAAGACAGGGCATGAATGTACATTTCTTTTTCTTGATCAGGACTCTCTTGTTTGCAATTGTCATGAAAACAAATCAGAAGGAAATGAAAACAGAAAAAACAGAAGAAGGAAAGTATAGAATGATGAGGGATTTTAGTACTTTTTTCCACAGCATTAAGATATATAATGACCATTGAATATGACATATTGCTACAAATTGGTTTTATGCATTTTAAGGAGAAGGAAAATTTTTTTTTTTTTTATTCAGAATGGGGACAGGATTAACAGTAAGTCTCAGAAGAGGCTTACTACCACATGACTACTACTAATATTATTCAGTCTCAAGTCTGTTTCAGGTGAAACTGTGTGTAAGAGAATTACCTCTGAGAAATAGCTGTCCAAGAAAGCCATGTTCATGCCGGTGTCTGCATATTCCCGCAAGGTCCCCATTGTGGAACTCCTCTTTCTCGCTGCTCCTACTGCTCCCCCAGCCACCAGGCCAGTTGCTGTCCCAAGTCCTGTGTTGAGCTCCACTCCAGATACACCCCCTTCAACTGTTCCTCCGCCCGCATAGGTGTTGGTGTAGATTTCTGAAAAGAGAGGGTGTTCCTATAACTGCTGGAGCTATCTGCTTTGGTTGTCCATCTACAGCCTCTCCAGCTGCCAGCTGGCCACATCCCATGACCAGGAAGCCTAGGTTCTGCAAAGCTAGTCGAGAGCATTTGAATGATACTCATAATTGTCAAACTGAATGACAGAATAAATGGTAGTGGCTGACCCAGAGGAAACTAGTTACCAAAATGGCCTTTTCACATTTGCACAGAGCTTACCATCAGTGTTAAAGCTGTACAACTTGACAAGAGGGTCTGAACTTCTGTGCAGGCTCTACTTCCTGCCACCACTGCCCCTGGCAGGACTCCACCCCCACCCCAATCCAAGCCCATTTGAGGGAGCTTGACCCACTTCAGAACCCTCCAAGCAAGTCCAGAGGTGTGTGCAGAAACTGAAACTCAGTCCTCATTCACCCTGGCACTGGAGTCGGAGCGGCGATCAATTGCCAATGTGCTTTGCATGGTCAGGGTGGACTTGGGATACTAAGGAATCATCACTAAGAAATCTCATTTCTGCTCTAGAATTGGGCAACCTTTCTACTTAGTTCAATCATTGCCTTATTGCTCAGTACTCTCAGGTGTTCATGGGACTGGCAATGCAGGAGACTAGAACACAGTGATCAGGCAAAAGCATGTATGAATTTAAGAAAAGTTCCTTGGCATATTATTAGAAGAACATATTTGCCACTTTTTCTTTTGTTTATCTTTTTTCCCCCCTTTCTTTTTTTGGAGAGGTTTTTGCTATGGGGTGTGTGCGCTCGCCAGAAAGACAGAGACAGAGAGACAGAAAGCTAGAAATAACCCCCCCTCCCCAGGGGGGATGGTGATGCCAACAGTCCCTTCTCCTCCATTCTCTTGGGATCTTGGGCATGCATGCACGCGCACCCGGTGTGAGTTTAAGCCACCGGGTCCGGGACTTGAACTGCGGTCGGCTACGTGGGTGTCCAGGGACATAGCCATTACGCTAACTGCTGGTCCCTCTTTTGTTTATCTTTCAAATAGTTTATATTATAAATAACCACTATAGCAGCATGTGGTCTGCACCAAGCACTATTTTAATATGTATTTTATTATTGATCTATGTTTATATACTCATTCACACACGTATATACCATGTAAATACCTATACACAAATATGTAGGTATACTCATATGCAGATGCTTCTGGACTTACAATGGGGTTACTTCCTGGTAAAGCTATTGTTAAGTCAAAAATATCGTACATTGAAAATGAATCTGATCCTTGGTAAACTCATAATGTCAAAAAAAGGACTTAAGTCTAACTATTTTAAGTCCAGATGCTCTTCAATTTACTGGGGTTATATGCTGATAAATCTATCGTACAGATGAAAATTTCTAAATTGAACCATCATAAATGGGAAATAGCTCTACTCATTTAGTTCTTACAGCAACGCTTTAACCTAGGTACTATCATAAGCTCAGTTTCAAAGATAAGGAGATGAAGATCCAGAGAGATTAAGTAACTCACTCAAACTAGTAAGGGGCGAGGCTGAGAACAAACCCAAGCATCTGTTTTCAGAGTTTGCCCTTTTAAAGCCTGGGTCCTCCTTCACTGCCAATAGTTTAAGAAAAATAAAATGATATTTCAAATATGCCATTTTCCTTCTGGTTATTCTATCATCTAAGTAAATGGATCGCTATGTTGCTTTTCCATAAAGTACTTTTACATGAAGTTGGTCTGGTTGAATAATTTTATAAATTTTAAAAGGAAAAACAGATTCTGATGTGCACTGACCAGAGGAATCAATACGATCCTGGGTATTAGAAGCTGTCATGGGTACACATATATTTGACACATCCTGAAAACAAACAAACAAAAAATAAATGAATGCTTTATATTAAACATTTTAAAGTTGACATCTTTTCCACTTTTATTCTGCAGCATGTAATTTTCAAGACATGCTCAGTTTTCACTGAAACTCAAGGCTCTCTGGAAAGTGACAGTCCACTCACCCTGTCCTCAGGATGGGCACCTTCTATTCCCCAAGACCTCATGACTCCTTCTCCCCCCTCGGGCACAGGGGCAAACCTTGTCCCCAGGCCTTCAGGCTGTCTTCGTTTGCAGCAGCACATGAGTAGCAAGAGTGGAGATACTGCCCAGGAAAACAATGAGGAGGAATCAACACACGTTCAATTTAGGGAGACACAAAGGTACTGTTTTATGGGTGGTTTTTTAGTTAGATTCAAAGGGATGAGCACCAATATAAAAAAAAAATACCAATTTTCTCCTGAAGGACTGATAACACATATTCACATTTACAAGTAAAAACCTACCAAATTGCAAAGAGCTGAAATTGGGGGAATTTGAGATCATGTAATCCAGGTTGTCTTCCTGACAGATTAGAAAAGTAAGGTCGCCGGGCGCGTGTGCGTGCGTGCCCAAGATCTCGAGAGGAGAATGGAGGAGAAGGGATTGCGGTGTGACCATCCCCCCTGGGGGGTGATTTCTCGCTTTCTGTCTCTATGTCTCTGTCTGTCTGTCTGGCGAGTGCATGTGCCCTATAGTGGAAAAAAAAAAAAAAAAGTAAGGTCTATTCTTCCCTCTCCCTCAAGAGTCCTGAGCTGGTTGGTGGACAATCCAGGATTCAAGTTCAGTTTTCTAGTTCCTACTCTTTTGTGTACATGCATGTGAATTTATATTTGTGCACATAAACGTTTGTGGATGTTTATGTGTATATAAGCCTATGTATATGTATATATATACACACATATAAATGCATTCCTCCTTGGGCAAGTATGCATATACAAATATGCATAATGACCATCTTTATAAATGTATTTACATAGACCACGGGTATTCACATACCCATATAGCAACTCATTATACAAATACACATACCCAGAACCAATACACATACATATAAGTTAAACATAACATCAATATATGTCATGAAGAGGACTGACTACAGGGTTTAGTTACAGGACTTAGATTTAGGACCCTTCTTTGACCTTTGATATATTTACACTTAAAATAAAATGATCAAATTATCACCCACTAAATGAAATTGAGCTATTTACATTTATTATTTTTAAGATTTCCTGTAAAATATAATGGAAAATTAAGTCTATCACAAAATTTTAACCATCCAAATATTTGTGGTAAGAGAAACATTTCTGTTTGTTTCCCCAGTTCCCTCAATTCTGCATTTTAGTCCATAAATGTAGACACTTCTTATGTTGTTTAAGGTTCTAAAATATACTCAGTTTAGTTTTTTAGGTCTATTCTAGTTGTTTTTATACTTTCCTAATTTCCTAGCACAACATGAATTGTACTGAATTTAAAGGTACAGAAGAAAGTACCAAGGATGCAAAATCAGGCCTGTTAATTGATTAATTAAAACAGTTTTATGGTAGGTACCATGAATAATGAAAGATCAAGTTATGCATATCCAAGGAACCTTCTGGAAAAGGACTCAAACTAGATGGGTAGTCTCCGGGCAGCTGCCCCACCTGAACTATGTGTCTGTGATTTTGGTTGTGTGGTGGGTTATGTGCCACTCTGGGCATGAGCCCTAGCACACACCACATACAGTTAGTATGTGTAACTTCATTTGGATCTAACATTAAAAGTCTAAATTTGAGGCCCTTGGGGAATATAAGGTTTGGGCTAAGACCCTTCCCCCCCACCGTCACACTGCCTCCTTCCCTTTAATAGACTATCGGCTTTTCTATTGAAAACAAGTGACTTATCCAAAGGGATGTTCCTCTCTTATTCTATAATCAGTTTAACAACACTCATGCTCTCTTTGCTTGGGTCAGGAAGATTACTGGATTTTTAACCCTGAATTGCATATTAGCTTCACTGGAGGGCATATGCATACTGATGCTTAGGTCTCATTTTGGGTAGGACTCTGGCATGAGTAATTTTTAAAACCTTCAAGTGATTCTCATATGCAACTAGGGCTGAGAATCAAAGATTTCAAGGTTGGCTGACACCTCTACTCAAAGTGCTCTATAAAGTCATGTTCTGGGAAACTACCATTACTATAATTTTGAGAATCACCCATCATTTTTGCATAGCCTTGCAAATTCACAGATTATTTTTAAGAAAGTTTGCTCTGAGACCAATAGCTACATTTTTATACCTTGAAATGGGTTTGCATAGCCTTTCAAATTCACAGATTATTTTAAGAAAGTTTGCTCTGAAACCAATAGCTACATTTTTATACCTTGAAATGGTAATGTTTTAATTAGTACCTATCTATTAAAAGATGTTAACAAAACAGTTTGATGAGTTTAACCCTCTTTAATTTTAGAACCCAGTGTTTAATCCCCATGAAATATAAGTATTACAGGGGCAATTTAAAATTCATGAAATATCTCTCCTTTGAGGATCTACATGTTTTAAAAAACAGTGTAGGGAGAGGAGGCCATTTTGAAATTTTTTCTTAGGGATCTTGCCATTCCAGTGACCATGATCTTTGTACAGATGCTCATCCAGAGCCCAGAAGCTAATCCTTCTTTTAGGCTCTTCTCCCTACTTCCTCCTACATCAGCATGAGCAGGTTCCCTGAGATCATGAATCCTCATCAACTCTTCACTGCCTGTGCACTGAAGCTCAGAACATTCACCATATCACAGATCTTTCTCCATGCTGGCACCCAGCCTACCTTTTAGCCTACACCCCCCTCACCTGTTTGTATTGTTCTTTTGTCCTATTGTAGATTGCCTTTCAGACTTTTCTATGCACCACCCTCCTGTGAAGAGAATCCTTAGTTTTCTGTCTTACTTTCTTTTTTTTAAAGAGAGGTTTACTATAGGGCACATATGCTGACTGGAGAGACAGAGACAGAGAGACAGAAAGTGAGAAATCATCCCCAGGGCAATGGCCGCACCGTAATCTTTTCTCCTCCATTCTCCTCTTGGGATTTTGGTCATGCATGCACACACTCCCAGTGTGTTTCAAGCTGCTGGGTCCAGGACTGGAACCATGATTGGCCATGGGAGTCCAGCAATGCAGATATTACATCATCTGCTGGTCTCTAGAAAATCCTTAGTTTTCAAGGCCCAGCTCAAAAGCCATGTCTTTGATAAAGACCTTCCCAACCTTTTATTTTGACTTCATTGCTTCAGTCTTTCTTTCTTTCTTTTTTTTTTAGAATTATTTAATTTTATTTATTCATTCATTTATTTTTAATTTGACCACAGAGAGACACACAGAGAGAGAGAGAGAGAGGGAGAAAGTGAGAAATCAGGCTACCAGGTCCAGGACTTGAACCGTGGTCAGCTATGTGGGCATGTCCAGCGCCTTAACCACCACATCACCTGCTGGTCCTGCTTCAGTCTTTCTTAAAGCACTTTGATGAACTTTCCATCATAGGATTTATTTTGTGCTTTTCTATATTATACTGACTGATGTGCATGCAGACCCCCCGCTAACCCTTAACTGTCATTAAGGAATGACAGTTATCATTAAGGATTTCTTTTTTTTTTTGAGAGCTTTTTGCTATCGGGCGTGTGTGCTCACCCGAAAGACAGAGAGAGACAGAGAGACAGAAAGTGAGAAATCACCCCCCAGAGGGGATGGCCACACTGCAATTCCCTCTCTTCCATTCTCCTCTCAGGATCTTGGGCATGCACGCACATGTGCCCGGCGTGAGTTTAAGCTACCAGGTCCAGGACTCGAACCGTGGTCAGCTACATGGGAGTCCAGTGACATAGCCATTAATCTAACTGCTGGTCCCAATCATTAAGGATTTCATGCATACTCATATCAGTCCCATTGTTCATTTCCAAGGGCACCCAGTAATTGCTATAGATACTGATAAGAAAAAGAAAAATGAAGCCAGTTATCCTGTCAAGTCTGGCTATAGTCCTATTTTGAAGAACTGCTGACAAGATCAATTTAATTGAGTACTTACAAAGTAGTAGTAAGATGCCCATAACAATCATGCCAATCCCTGCTGGCCCGAGACCAACATTTGAAACTCCAACTTGGTCATCAGTGGCAGGCCCATATATGTCAGTAGTAACAGAAGTGAAATCCTCAGTGTAAATGCCCGTAGTACCGGAAGACGAGCACACTTGGTTGTTTTCACAATCACAGGCATAGAACTGCACCATCTGTGGCAATTCGCATGCTCTATTATAGCTGTCCTTTACTAGGACTGGGACTTGGTACGGTCCCGGAGATAAAGTCTGGTCAGTCATAAGGTATGCAGAGGTAGCTGAGAAAGAAGGGAGAAAACAGAAAATAAATTAAAATTACTTGGAGATAGCTCTTTCTAATACTCAAGAATAATTTCGAACCTGACTTTTTCATGTTTTCCTAGTCGTAGAGCAGCCTGTACTTAAAAAAATTTACATTTATAATTCATTATAATCAACATTGCTTCTGGTTGAATTGTTACATAGGCAAAGTGGGTGGGGGCCCTTGTGGCATATTTTCAGAGCAACAGCATTTGGCATATAATATGTACTCGATAAATAGTCATCTAATGAATGAAGAATACTGAGTTGAAAGGAAATGTTGGGAGTCTTTTATTTAGGATTACACTTTACAAATTACCTCCATAGATTATTTATCTCTTACTAAAAATTTCTGAGCTTTAAAAGAAATTCCAACAAATATTATTTTCCTGTTTCTTTGTGCTACCATTGCATATCGATTTCTGTAGAAAATATTGTTTAAAATGTTAGTTGAAACTTAAAGATGATTAAATTTACATCTAAGGAGATAGAAGGTAGGAGCTGCTCCCTCATGTGTGCTGATGCCATTCTGCTCTTTATCCATCCAAGAGCAACAGGAGACCCAAACTGCTTAGTTTGAGTTCATCGGGGACCCCTACTCAGCCTTCTTTGGGGAAAGAGGAGCTACTCTTGCCTTCAAGAACCATATCCGGTTCCTGCAATCCCTGCAATAGAAGAGAAAGAAGGAGCAATTGGGAGGCCCAAGCTACTCATGGTCTACCACTTTACATTCTACTTATCCAGTTCAACCTCCAGCCACATTGGGAACAGAAAGATTTGGGTAAACAGGAGCCAAACACCTGAAGAAAAGAGACACTGTAGGTATTCTCTCCCCATAAATCCTAGAGGAGTAAAAGGAGAGAAACTCCCCTCTAAAAACATGAACCCCAACCTCCTACTGAGGTTTTCATACTCCCATTCACAGTAGAGGAGGAAAACTGGCACAGAGCTGATGAACACCATA